GCACTCTTTGGTCTTACTCTTTATGATTTAATGGTTGTCATGCACATTTGGAATAGGAGATTCAAAACAGAAATGTTCAGTGCTGGGTGATTCAGTTTGGGCTGCTTGGAAGGCAGGCACTGGGCATCCTGAAGCTGTCTCACGTGTAGTCAGAGAGCAGAGTCGGATGCTCGGATGGTGCAGCCTGCCTTGCTTAGTAGATTGATCCACTGACTTTCTTTGTTCTCCTTACACATTCACTTTCACCTCAATCTCCTTCATCCCAGGAAATGGCATTTCTACCTAAACTTTCCTTAGATTGAAACCCAAGGCTCAATTTTTCCACTATTTTCTCCTCTCCACCCCCCCCCCCCAAGAAGTGCTGTGGCCTCACCTTCTAATCTCTTTGCTTACTTCTCTGTAACCCCCTTGCCCTTTGCCTACAGGTAGCTGCTAGTTCAGTTCTGTGTCAGGTCCAAAAAGTTCTTTATTTTTAATAATGACCTTAATTTTTAGAAACAAATTTAAATATTTAAAGAAGACAAGGACTTCCATCTGTATGATATGTTTTTATGGTATAGTATTAGTTAAATATATATATAAAAATTTAGCTGTACTCATAGTAGAAACATAGCAATGTTTAGTTTTCATGTCTATAATTTAGGGAAGTAAAGGAATACATTTGATTATTAAACCTCAGTTTGGAATTTATAATACTTAAAAATTAGATTTTTTATTTTATTTTAGGGGTATGAGTGTTACCTGCACATATGTGCCCCTTGAGGTCAGAAGGGGCCCTTGGATGCCCTAGAACAGGAGTTACAGATGGTTTGAGCTGCCGTGTGGGTGCTGGGAACTGAACCCAGGTCCTCTGCAAAGGCCACAAGTAATCTTAATGACTGAGCCCTCTCTCCAGCCCCATGGATTTGCCCTTTGCCCTAAACAGAACTTCTCTATGCTCACACTTTAGGAGGTCTTCCTCCCCGGAGTTAGCAGTCAGTGCTGTGAACACGGCAACCTTCTTCGCTCACAGTGCCTCTAGGATAGATAGTCAGCAGTCTCAGATATATCTGGAGACAGGAAGGCCTTTCTAAAGGTTAAACAAGGCCTAAGCTTCTGCAAAGTTTTACTTATGAATTAACAGTCTTTCCCTTTACCCTTCATTACTAGGACAAATACAGGAGCTATTTGGTAATATAGGGTAGTAATAAAATTAAATCCCCTTAAGAGAAAGGTAAACAAAAGGGAAAGCTTGTGGATTATGTCTAGTTACTGTGAGTCTTCTCTTTTCTCTTTTGGTTTTGGTTTTTCTTGCCAGGGTTTCTCTGTGTAGCCTTGGCTGTCCTGGACTCACTTTGTAGACCAAGCTGTCCTGGAACTCACAGAGATCCTCCTGCCTCTGCCTCCCAGAGTGGGATTATGGGTGTGTGCTACTATGCCCATCTTGCACTGTGATTCCTAAGAGAAGCTGGGAGACAATACAATTAACTCACCACAATATGGAATTCAGTCCCAAACATTCTCGAAAACAACTGCTGTCAATTTTTGCCTCAAAGGCTATGTTTTTGTATTAGGAGAAAAGGTCTGTCTCAACCGTGGAACTGATGTGGGGTTTTTCTCCTACACTCAGCTGAATCATATGACAAGACAGAGGCAAAGGGGGCACAGTCAGATCTCCTGCTGCAGGCCAACAGCTTTGCAAAGCTCACATCCTAACCGTTGAAATAATAAAGCCCTGCCAGAGTGTCAAAGGCTCTCCAGACAGCGGTGCTTTTTTGGCAGGCTCTCTGGACAAGGGAATGGTTTGTACAAGATCTAGTGGAGAGAGTGAATGGAGAGATTGAAAGTGTCAGCCAAGGAGGACTTCAGTGCACACCAAGTGTGTGTATGTGATCAGCCCACTCTCACTACGTATGAAAATGCCACAAAGCCTCTTACGTGCTAATTAAAAATAAAATTAATGAAATTAAAAATAAAATACAGAATGTCCCAATAATCTTAACAGAAAAAACAATAAAATAATAAATAATATTAATATCATTGTGTAATTATAAAATACATTATATAATAGGTGTGATACTTTATATAATATATATTATATAAATATTACAGATGATATTATATATAATACAATGTAAAATTAAAGCAGTGTAAAAGGAAAAAACCCCACCAAGTTATGAGGCTCATGAATAAAACCCTTGACAGTTTCTTCACCTGGCACCCAGCCTGGAGATGGCGTGACAAGGAAATGCATGTTTACACTGTCCTGAGGTAGCTGGCTCTCCAGAAATGCTGAGGCGAGGTCAGGCCTTCCCAGAGGTTGCCTGCATCACCATCGTTCAGCGTCGTCCTTGTGCACCCAGAGGCTAGTTCCTCTCCAGAGAACCAGCTCTCACTTCCTAGCTGCTTTCGTAAAGAAGCCAGACTTTACTGATAAACTTGAAGCCTCTTCCATACCTCTCTGTGGCCATTTCCTCCCTTCTCCTTAGATGACCACAGCACACATTTGATGTTTATTATTCTCATAAATACTTATATTTTTGCTCCATGTTTGATATGTAGATGATGCTCAGGAAGTCATTAAACATTTGTTATATACAAGTCATGAGACTGCAGTTTCCTGATTACCATTATGTTTTTAAAATTAGATTTATTCATTTTATTTTATGTGTGAGTGTTTTGCCTGGATGTGTATATGTATCTATGTATGTATGTGTATATATGCACGTATATCTTTATATCTATCTGCCCAGCCTGTTAGCGTACAACGTTGTGAGATGAGGCTGCTGCTGCTCTATCTGCAGACCACACCCGACATCATAGATGTTCCCTAGCAAATGTTTATAAAATGAACACAGACCAGTGTGCTTCTCCAAGTTCGCCTGCATGCTCACGTTGATATTGGAGATCTCACATACCTAGTCAGTCTTAGAGCCAGTCTGTGTCAGTTACTGTGTGTGCGCTGGTTGGTTCTGTCAACTTGATCAGACCTAGACATGTCTCAAAAAGGGGAATCGTAAGTGGAGGAACGCCTTCATGAAGATAGACATGTAGACAAGTCTGTGGGGTATTATCCAGCCCAGTGTGGACAGAGCTATCCCTGGCCAAGTGACCCTGGGGTGCCAAGAATGCAGGATGAGCGAGCCAGTAAAGCAGCACTCCTTCCTGGCCTCTGCTGCAGTTCCTGCCTCGAGTTCCTGCCCTGGCTTGCCTCCATGATGGAGCACAGCCTGAGAGTGTAAGCTGAAGCAAACCCCTTTCCCCACAAGTTGCCTTTGGCCATAATGTTTCATTACAGCAGCAGAAACCCAAAGTACACACGGCGTCTTGAGGGTCTTGTCGGTACCAGTCATCCCAAACCCTAGTGAAAATCAACAGCTCTACATGGCTGGAGGTAGCTGAATGTGGTTTCACGTGTTAAGGGACTTTAACACACAGCTGTGGAGAGTTAGGGGAGTCTCACTCTAGCCATGCACTTGCAGCAGCAAAGCCACTGTGACCTCTCCACAGTCTTCCCTGGAGCAGCTCAGGTCCTATTGCCTCCTCAGCAGCCCCCTCCTCCCCTTCCTCCCTCTCTTCTGCCCTTCATCTTGTCCCTCTTTATTTCCCCCTTCTCTTTTTATAACCCGAGAGCACCATGATAGCCACCCTCCCAGATATCCTAGCATACATAACTTGAAATTAAGGGTACTCTCCCAAATAATGGCAGTGGCCATAGCAATACCCCAGCAGCAAAGCATCTACTGAGGCTGTGCTCTAACCCTGCTCAGCTTTATCCTCAACACATCCAGTGAGGAGCCACACATTTCCTTCTGATTTCAGGCCTCCTTACGGCTCCCAGTGGCTTTGAATTCACTGTTGACACAATTTGAAGAGTCCAGACCGGGTTTCTGATGAAATAATTGCTCGTCTGCTCCTTTTTCTCTCTCTCTCTCCTTTTTCTATGGGTAGATGTATGTGTTTGTGCATGTTCATGTGCATGTGATAGGGTGTGTTCCTGGTCCTGTGTGCGTGTGTGTGGCCAGAGGTCAACCTCAACATCAGCTGTCTCCAAGGATCCACATGTGTCTGCCTCTCCAGCCCTGAGCGTACAGACACACACAGCTGCACCTGGCTTTTTATGGCATGCAGGGGATCGAACAGATGTCTTCATGATTCTGTAGCAAGTGTTCTCCCAAGGGAGCTATCTCTTCAGCACCTGCTTCTCACTTTCCTTCTCCTAAATGATGTTTCCTGCTGTCCATTGGACATGAAGACCCCACGTTCTTAGGGCTGTGTATTCTGCTCAAGGCGTCGTGTCAGGAGATGATGTTATTTTAATGCATTCGTGGCCATGCTAAATTTAATTACATGTCTAAAATATAATCTGTCAGATTTCCTCATTATAGAACACATATTGTCTTTAACATTAATAAATATTTTAGGGTGGCCTTTGAAGACCATGTAAATATTCTGCTTAACATCCTTCACCTAATGGTCTTAGCTGTCATTGAGGACCTTTGCTTATGTCCATTGCTTTACTGATAGTTGGAAAAATATATTACATAATTTAACTATTTATCCTACATCTCTTAGCTGGCATTCTTCTTATTTTCCCTTCTCACACCTTTTTGGAACTATATTTGAAATATCAAAATGGATGCATAGATTTTTTTTTCAGAATAAATTTAATCCAAAATAAAGTACTTCTTTCCTGAATGTTTTAGTAGTTTCTCATATATTTAATATGGTGCTTTCTCATAGAATATCTCAAATCCAGCTCTCCTTATGAAATAACATCTTATTCAGTAGAGCGCAATGAAGTTCCCTTGGTACACTGGCCCTTTTCCCTTTTGTCAGTCTGGTTCACAATTATCGTGATAATTTATCATTTATTTTCCATTGGTGGTTTAAACACAAAATCAGATCCATTGCTGAGAATAAAAGCTAGGGGAAGAGGGAGTTTTTCCAGTCACATGCTTCCTTCCTCTTTGCTCACCTCCTGGCCGTTGCACTGAACGCTTTCTCTGTTTTATTTTTAGGACCGCCGATTCAATGATGAAATTGACAAGCTAACTGGCTACAAGACAAAATCACTCTTGTGCATGCCTATCCGGAACAGTGACAGTGAGATAATCGGTGTGGCCCAAGCGATAAATAAGATTCCGGAGGGTGCTCCATTTACAGAAGATGACGAAAAAGTAAGATTTCATGCCTTGCACAACTCGTCCTTTCCGTTTTGATCCCTGATTGCTGCTCTCAGCCTATTCACAGATCAAAGAGCTTTTCCTCTGCTGTACAGGATGTAATGGGAGGTTTTTGTTCGTTTGTTTTTAGCATTTCATGGAATGCGGTATAATTGAAAATAACCACTCCACCTTTTTTAAAGCCTGCTTTTCCTTACGAGCCCCAGTAGGAGTCTTGCTTTTGCCTGGTCTTTATTTTCCTGGCAAGCAAGCCTTTTAATTGAGAACAGCACCTTGAGCACACATGGCCCAAGGGACGGCAGAGAATATAGGAAGTTTACTGAGTTTTCAAAAACTCAGTCATATCATAACTATCACAGTTGTTTTCGTACTTCTTATATAAAAACCTCAATAAAATGGGCATTATTTAATTGTTATTGTAAATCTCTAGTGGGGGAGCGTAGTTTCTGTTTCTGAAGAACAGGTGACTTTGGTGGACGTCACATACTTTTCGCTCTGGAAAAGTACGTCCTTTACTAATAGTTTATTGCAAGCTGTGACAAGAGAGGCTCTTCGGGAACTGAGGCCTGCCTTCAGGGCCTTCGCCTTCACACTGAATAGAGTCTGGCTGAAGGGAAAGCAAATCTCATTCCAGTTCGTTTAAGTTTGGTGAAAACCTTCCTCATGTGCTATGTGGTTGAAAACCTTACAATTTAGCCTTCTGCTGAGGCCCTGCTATTTACCAGTGCTTGGTTGTTAAAATCACACGAGTGCAAATGTTCTGGTACAGAAGGCGAACATGAACTGCGGTTATAGGAAAACGGGAGGACTTCTAAATGAAGTGACTCCTCCACTGAGGTCATTTCTAGAGTGGAATTGAAAGAACTCAAATCCTTGGAAAAGTTTATAAACTCAGAGCACCGCAGCACCTCGGATGGCCTCTTACAAATTGTGTATATGAAGCACATGGGTTGGGATCATAGGAGGTAGGTGGGAAAATCCCATATATTTTGTGGCATCCAGGAGCTACCTGAGGTGAGAGGCACAATATGTTCTAATCTGACCATAGGGGAGAGAGGAGCTCCAAAGGGGCTTCTTGGAAGAGATAACATTTCATCCCCAAATCAAGGTTTCCATTGTCAGAACCAAAAGAGACAGAAACAGCGTCTGGAAACTGTTTTGCAACACATGATGGTGAATTTAGAGGCTCACAGCTGTCCAGTGTCAAAAGTGATGTTGGGGGCTCAGCCCTGAACCACCCTACACCACCACCCCTGCTAAGGCTCAGGGAACCTTGTGAAGAAGGGCAGGAGGAATGTAAGAGTTAGAGAATAAGGAGAAGATATAAAATTCGTTAGGCAGGACACAGCCACTGTAATGATGAACTCACAGCAAGCAGCTGCAGTTACACTTGGCCGGCATAAGGCTGGCCCTGTAAACATGGGTGGAGGAAGGTCTCATAAAGCCTACCCTTTACTGCTGAGCTCTTGGTTAGGTGGATTCTGAGAGAGGAAAAGCTGTTGTTTTCAGTTGTATTATCCACTGCTAAGCCCAGCAGGCTCCAACAGATAGCTCTAAATCCATGGTGACATAAACTCTAAGTCTGTGGTGACACAAATAGCCCTGGTTAAATTCAGTGAGTCAGAAAACAAAACAAATAGATATAAATACGAGAAAGCCATTTGTAGGGGAAATGGGGGAGTAGGTGGATAGGATGCACCTACATAGAAGAGAGCAAGAGGTGAGAGCAATCAGTGTGCATTATAAACCTTTACGAAATGGCCAAAATGTTAATTAATAATAAAACCCGTAAAAACGTAGCGTAGACCACCTTCGTCTGTATAACACATTTAATGGGATGTCTAGGTAAAACAATTTTTAGAAAGACTTTACTTTTTACTTACGTGTATGTTTGTGTGTTTGTGTGGGAGCATGTTCACGTGAGCCTAAGAGGATATTCATTGGATCTCCTGGAGCTGGAGTTGCAGGGGGGTTGTGAGCTGGTAAGGATGGATCCTGTGAGCCAAAGCAGGGACCTGTGCCAAAGCAGTATGAACTTGAAATGCTAAACCATATCTCCAGTTCCAACAAAGCAGTTATTTTGATCACTAATTTAAATACAGATGCCAAAATCTTGAGCTAGTGTGTCTCCTTTCACAGTTCAAGTGGGATTTGGGGCTTGTGCCTTTTAGAATGTGACAACTGCCCTCTGCTCTGACCTGCTCTCTTGGGGATCCCATGATACAAGCAGACCGTTCCTTTGACTCATTTGTGCTGTGTTTGCTTCATGGTCTCCTCCCAGAGGGTTTTTAGTTACAAGATAAGGCCCCATAAGCCTCAGTGGTTTAAGGCAAGGCTTGCTGCAGGCATTGTAATGCCTTTCTTGAATAGCATCAGTGTTCAGCTTTACTGAAAACTGGGCATAACCAGGTGGTGGTGGTGAGTGCCTTTAATCCCAGCACACAGGCGATTCTCTGAGTTCCAGGCCAGCCTGGTCTACAGAGTGAGTTCCAGGACATCCAGGGCTACCCAGAGGAACCCCGTCTAAAAAAAAAAAAAAAATTAAAATTAAAATAAATTTAAAAATTGCAGATGGGAGCCTAAGCATAGCTGTCCGCTGAGTGGCTCCACCCAGCACCTGATGGAAACAGAAGCAGAGGCCTCAGCCGAACATTGGGTGGAGCGCAGGGAGGCTTGTGGAAGAGTGGAAAGACAGATAGAAGGACCCAGTGGGGACAGGAGCTCCACAAGAAGACCAACACGGCCAACCAGCCAGGGCCCAGGGGGGCCTGTGGACTGAAGCACCAACCAAGGAGCTTGCATGGACTGGACATAGGTTCCTTACAAAGATGTAGCCGATGGGCAGCTCGGTCTTCGTATGGATTCTCTAGTAAGGGGAATAGGGCCTGAGTCTGACATGGACTCTGTTGCCTGCTTTTCGATCACTTTCCCCTGGCAGGGCTACCGCACCAGGCCTCAGGGGAAGAGGATGTGCTCAGTCCTGATGAGACTTGGTATACTCGGGTAGAGGGGGCTCCCCTTCTCTGAGGAGTAAAAGGGGGCAGGAGAAACAGGAAGGAAGGGTGGGGCTGGGAGGAGAGGAGGGAGGGGGCTATGAGCCCAGCTTGGCTGATGACCTTTGTAAAGCCACAGAATTTCCCTCAGTGACTTTACCTGTCAGACACAGTATCCCCCACTACGTAGCTCAAAAATTAAATAAGATCATAATAACAAATGCCCAGTAAAATGTAAGTTTCAGGGCCAGAATAATCTATAACTTTTACTTCTAATATTTTCCATGAGAGTTTAATTTTTTTCTTTTGTATTGGTCACTTATTCTCAGAAAGATTATCTCTTATAGTGGATCCTATTTTCTTGTTCAAAAAGTTATGATTATTTTCTTCTACAATTGTTTCATGTGCCCATAGTATCTTTTTTCTTCCAGTATATTAAATATATATATATATATAATATTTTCACTGCTTGGGAGTTTTGGCAGTTAGGCCGGGTAGATTGTATTCACCCAGGTGACACAGTTATAAAACATTTTATGGCTGTAATTTCTAGCCTGTGTTGGTTTCTTCTTGCAAGGATTCTAGTGTTGTGTATGGTGAGGAAAATAATAGAAACTAAATTCTAGAAATGTTTGGTGGAAAAGGATACAATCAGCTGCCTCTTCCAATGAGGAATGGCAAAGTGGTTTTACAGCTTCCTGTGTGAAATTTACAGTGATATTTGTATTAAAATCACTTCCTCTATGTGGAAAGGAGATTCCATGAAAGGGCACTGGGAAACTAGAAAGACCTCCCAGTACACTGACAGCACAGTCTGAAGCTCAGGCAAGTCTCAGTGAAAAATTACCTCTGTGTAACTCAGTTGTTCTCAACCTATGGATCACAACCACCACTGGATGGGTATCAGATTACAATTTGTAAGAATAGCAAAATTACAGTTATAAAGTAGCAAAAGGATAATTTTATGGTTGGGGGTCGCTACAACATGAACTGCACTAAAGGACTGCAGCTTTATGAAGGTTGAGAACCACTGGTGTGATTTGTTTCTAAGTTTCTATTCATTGGAAGGAGGCGACAGGAAGAACATTCAGCCAGAGGGACCAGAAGCTCAGCTCTTCCTCCAGCCACCTCCCCTTTAGCTGTGTATTCTGTGATCAGTATGAAATGCATATTCTGTAAGGTACAATGAGAGATCCCACATGCAGACGGGAAAAGATCAGACCACTCATGATGACGTAAGCTGGACCCACCCTCACCAGTGCACACCCTTATCATAATCTCAGCAGCAATGAACGCAGAGCAGTGGAGCTGTGCTCACTGACTAGCGCACCTTTCCTCATCCAGGCTTCTGCCAACGCAGGGCCAGTAAGAAAACACTCCCTGAGCTATTACCCGAGGTCAAGGGGTTTTGCATTATCTGTCCTTCAGTATCCTCATACCAAAACCTCAGATCAAAGCATATTTAAGTCTCCCCCTCTTTTCACCATAGAATATGCTGTTCCTGGCCCCTGGAGCCTGTCAAACGCAAGTGGCGGCGGCTGACTTCTTCAAAGCACGATTTCATTAGGTTGCCCGTTTGTTTTCATTAAACAAAGGTTTTTATTAATGCCCTCTATATGCCAGGTACTCTTCTGGCACTGGGGTTTTATTATGAGTTCCTGATTTTACTATATCACTATTAATTTATATATTGTTTTTATTTCCTTCTTTAAGATTATCCTTATATTAGTTTGTATTCTACTTCTTGTTTTTGAGAGAAAGTCTCACTATGTAGCCTTACTTGCCTGGAAGTTGCTATATCGACCAGGCTGGTCTCAAGCTTGTGGTGAGCCCACCGAGACTGCGTCCTGAATGCTGAGCTTACACATGTGCCACCATGAACAGCCTTACATTCTCTCTATGTAAAATGTAAACGGAAATTGGATTCTTCCCTATCTGTCTACATGTGAATATATTCTGTATTTTCCATTTGGGGTGATTAAAAAGCTTTCTGATTTTCTT